TTTATCATGTTAATGCAAGTCTAATTTCAATCAATATAATAGTATACTGTAAAAAACTAAAAATAAATTGCTTACTGATGAAATGTCCTGGGAAGTTTTCTTTTGATTTTTGATTCTGTCAATTGACCCTTCACTATTACTTCTTATACTTTTTGCATCAGGAATGACTACCCATTGCTATGAAATTTTCTGAGTTTAATTCAAATTTTTAATTTCAATTGGCACCAAAACTTCTTCAGGTCTCCAAATTTTTTTTTAAAATTGGACATTTTTTAATGATATTTACAGTAACCACTAAACTCAAAAGGCAAAAATTGAGAGTTTATCATGTTTTCAATTCCTGAGAGTACTGGCAAATTTATTTTATTTTTTTAGAAAAGTTTAATTATTGTGCATCTGATGAGTCAAAGAATTAGAAAACACTATTACACAAAGTCAAAAGTAATACTTTATTATAACAATAGAATTATTTATACAATAGTGAGTGCAACTATATTTAAGATTATAAAATCTACTGTGCATCAAGCAGTTTATCCCATTGACCTTACAATATACAATAATGCAAGAAGTAATGTGTCTCATTACAAAATAGGGTTTCCCAAAGCAGTTCTAAAATTCAGCTGATTATCAATGACCTATGCTGTTAATAATTACAGTAATTTGGCAGTTTGATTGCTTGAATTAAAAACAAAAGGTCTAGGACTCAACAGAAAGAAATATGTCTTAACATCAAATATTAAAGATAGTTTGAAGCATTCATACAATTGAAGGTTTTAGAAAGTTTGATTATCAACTACATTTACATAAAGCAATAGCAATTATGTTATTTTGCCTGCGAATATATAAAAAAGTTGCAATTATTCTTCTCTAGCTTCTAATACATTTTAATCTTGATGTGATTCCATGGAACTATAAAATAATATATGATATGTTGTATGTATGTAATAAATATACAAATAGTAAGGAGTAAGAACCATTTTTGGTGTCAATGTTTTTTATATATCGACTATATTTAAGATTTTAAGTCTATTTTTGCCATTGATAAACTGTGACTAAAATATGTTTTTCAGTGTCGCTGTCTTTTACAAAAGAATATGCAAATACATTCACAATTTTGCCATGAAGCAATGGCGATAGCTCAAAATGTTTTATTTGGAATTGGTGGAACTATATTTATATATACATCAACAATGATGGTTTGTCCATAGGGTTTGTCCTATGGGCGCCCTTCATACGGGTCGACAAATATTGATATTTTCGAAAAAAATAATTAAATTCTGCCTACCCGTTATTCACAATATGAAGCTCCAACGATCTGGCATCATTTACAACAAGTTGCACACTTGAAAAACCAAAATTGACTGCATAAAAGAGGATTTATTGTCAACTTTGTCCATTTCCGCAATACAAAATATACAAATTATCACGCTCCGTGGGAACGACCAATATGGCCGCCGCACGTAAACTGCGACTGCGATCAGGCTTCAATTTTCGCCTGCCTACAGGGTGGGATGCGCTATCTAGTGTATATGAGATATCTATGGCGCAGGCCCTAACCACTGAGCTGTATAATAACTGGAGGACCTGCTCCTATACTTCGTTCAGTCAACAAAGTGTCGCCAAAAACATGGCGGATTTTGAGTGAAAATGACGCCATTTCCATGACTACTGGTCCCTAAATTCATGGTAATTGCCACTGAACAAGGCTCAATTATGAGCCCGCCACAGTTTTCACCCCCCCCTGGTTTTTGAAAAAATATTTCGGCTTTTTGCAGTGAATTCTTGTTGTTTTGTTTTGTACGTTTCTGTATAAATCAGCATCCTCTTCGAAGCTCAAATATTTATTCTCGCCAAAAGACAAGGAACAAATATTCAAACCTGTGGGGAAGACGTACTTTATATTTCAAAAGGTAAACGACATACATATATTTTAAAATTTATTTTATTGTAGCCTTCTTTAGTTGTAAATACTATTTTGTTTTATTATAAAATATGTTGCGATACAAAACAGCCTACTTGTTCTGTGTAATGGAGAATTTTAGCATCAAGTATACATAATTGGGTTGTACTATTAAACCACGAAATAAGCTTTGTTTATTATATATTTTATATTTATAGTGAGAAATTAAAGCAAATCTCGAAGCTATTAAATAGTTGACACTTTGGATTTTAGGGGATGTTTACACTTTACACTACATGTATAGCTGTACATGAAGGGCCAGCCTGCAGGGGTCGTTTTCCCTTTTCACCTCTTGTTTACCTGAGGAAAATCAACCCTCAAATCATCTATTTTATTCAACCAAGTCCAATTAAATCATACTCCAACCCACAGACAATTGAATATTGTTCTTGAGAGCTAAAGGGTATCTGAATTGAAAAAAAAACTTGAAACAAAGGCTGAGTTTGATGTGAACATGCACAGTGGGTTATTTTACTTAGCCCTAACCACGGATTGGTATTTTACAATCTATGGCCCTACTAGGTGGGCCAGCTTTATAGAGTACTGTAATTCTGTTGACTTGCATTTATATGGGAATTTTGTGGTGACCATGCTATAACCATGAACTACTGTATAAATTAGTTGAGTTGCAAGTTGTAACTGCAAATTAATGTAATTAAGGTGTATGCATGCACAGGATTGTGGACATGTCACACTTGATATAACTAAATGTCAAAGGTAGTGTGACTTGACGAATATTTCAAGTGTGAATTTTATGACCTACAGTACAGTATAACCAACCTAAAAATATTGTTGCATCTTTTGCAGTTCAGGTCTAAAAATGTACATACAAAAACCCTTCATCATTTAGTGATGAACATCAGCATTAAGTCATGTAGAACCCTTTTCTCACAAAACACTTAATATGTAACAGTTGCATGGTGGTCAACATCAGAAAAATTTGCACAAGAATATTAAGACATTTAAATACCTTTCCATTCTATATTTTTCTCATAACATATTGGTCTGTTCCAATTATTATCTAAAAACTTTTAGATAATAATTACCTGCTTTATATTTCTATAGACCAAGAAGACTAGACTGTTAAGTGAGAGGTATCGTGCCTTTGAGGAATCTTATGTATTGGTGGAGTACTGCATATGCATGGTCATGAAATTACTATGTACGTACATGTACTAGCTGCTATCACCATATGGTCTGAAAATTGGAGGGGGTTTTTTACCAACCTCTGCTGATCATGCAGTAGGAATCAAAAGAAAAGAAAACATTCAATAAAACACCAGAGTAAAGAAAATAAAACATTCTTGATAACATATACTAGATTTGGTAGAATGATCTAATTCAGTTACTTTTTGGGAAAATTTTTAAATATGGTCTTGTTATATATCTCATAATTTTCTGGGTTGGCACGAAGCTCTAGGAAGATGTTCTGTGATCGGTTGATTATGACAATGACAAAAGAATAAGCTATTGAATGGATTTTCTAAAGAACGAAGCAAGATCAATATATTCCTTTGGTTTAAGTAAGTCAATTACGTCTTGTGTCATTGTCATAATCAATCAATCACAGAACATCTTCCTAGAACTATAATCGTGTTTACTGAATTTTCGCAGAAGAAGATCCATCACTTAACATTAATTAAACATACAGTATTTTCAGTGGTCAATTAACGAACAATGATTTGATGTTTGGAAAAAGAGGTCACAAAATATGTTAATGAATATTTTAATAGATTTTATATATTTACATAATAATTTAGTATTTATAAGAACAAGTATATATAATCATTGGAAATTGTATTGAATAATTTGAATACGAAATATATTAAAGAATAACATTTATTTAAATTAGAAAAATAAACAGTATGGAAATATTGCACAATAAGGGACTGGTCATAATTTAGCAGGAGGGGTGTGGAGGTGGAAACAATGGGGGGGGTCACATTTTTTAGCCAGGAAAAAGGGGGGTCATAAAATATTAGACAGTTTATGAAGGCGGGGAGGGGGAGCCTGCTGTTTTAGTTCAATTAATTGTTTTATACATGCCTTCTCACATTTTATATTGTTGAGTTGCATTGAAAAAAATTGATTCTTTAAACTTAGAATGAAAAGTTTGAAAAAACTAAAGTTTTATATATGACTAATAATGTATTGGTATAATATAAATTTTAGTATTTGATTTAAAGCGCAACTAGAAAATTAGAAAAATTAAAGTGAAATTAGAAAATTTATTGAATGCAGGGTTTAGTAGTAGGTAGATACATTTTTACTGACACGAGCAAGAGAGGGGGGGGGGCATTATTTTTCCGGGTTATGGCAAAACTGGGTCACAAAATATCATTCCTTAAAATTTTAAATTACACCTCCCCACCCCCTGATAAATTATGACCAGTCCCTAATCAATTAAAATATCAATCCAGGCAATTTGCATCAATTAATAAAGTTTTAGACAACATATTTTTCATGTGCCAAAATATGAAAATAAATATGAAACATAATGGCACATGGCAAGTTTGACCAAGTTAGTTTTACTATTAATATATAATGGAAAATTAAATTGGACTGTGTATATTGTAAGTATACTGAATGCCAACCAAAAGAAGAGTACGTTGCATCATTAAATTGCACTTACTAAGTGGCGAGTCAATGGACCATATATTGAACTGCAAAGTTCTGTATTTCTTCTAAAAGCTTATTAAATTAAACCAAGATGTGCCCTTTTATATGTTTTTATTCTTTAATTGAATAAGTGCAATATTGCATGACTGCATGTGTTAATAAATAACAACAGGCAATTTACCCAATGAAAACTAACTGGGAGAATGTACAGATTAATTTTGACCTGCATGATTACTTTTATGAAGTGTAAAAAATTGTGCCTTAAGATGAGTTTGAAAAACCAGGAAACCAGGTTAAAGTTACCATGTACATTAAGTTAATTTTCTTTAGGTAAATTGCTGACTGTTGTCATATTAAATGTCCAATTAGTACAGTTTGTTAGAACTGTATGCTAGCCAGGCCCTGTACTACTTTGCCTGCATTAATGTCTTGCAATGTGGCCTGGCTTGCCACATTGATAACATCTTCTTTTAATCTTCCTACAAGACAGAATATCATAAAGTATTTTAATCTGAATTTAATTACTAGTAGTTAATTATTACAATACAAAAAACATTTTCTAAACTTACTTGCTTGATCTCAATTGTAAGCTGTAAATAGAGAAAAAGGAAAAATGTACTATTGACTTGTAACTGACCAATTAACAAGCATGTGGTAATATAGAAATTATATACTCCCCTAGACACAGTTATAGCCCAATAGGTAGTAATTGAGGTAGGATTAGTCTTTATTTTGAAAAGATAAAAGGAAAACACATACGTTTCTTACAACTTGTTGATTTGTGTGTGGCCTTTCTGGCCACAATTATGACATTTTCCTAAATGAAGAAGTATATATGACACTTCAATAGGTTATATGTTTAGTTTGACATCTTTTAAATAACAAACAATTTTAAATAACAGACATGCATTACCTTTAAATTCAACCTTTTGCCTTTGGTTTTCTTTCACTGCCAACTGACCTATTAAAAATATGTAGTTTACTAAATGTTCATCTAAGACTTCATTAAACACATAGCATAATACTACCCAAAGGGCAAATGGTAGGGAAACTATTATATTTTCATGTTTATTATATTGTTTATATTATAGTCTATATTAGCCATGAATATTAAACAAATACATAATGCATAATCATACTGTTAAGGTTTTGGCTCTGGTTTGAACCACTGGCGCTGTTTCAGCATTTAACTGGCACCATTTCAATGTTTGGCACATCTACAAAATATGGTATTATATATCATGGACTATTCAATTCAAACAAAATTGGAATTCTTACTATAAAAAACTTACTTTCCATTTCGGGATTCGGGAAGACTTTGACTTTGTTCTGCATCTGCAAAGACAAAAAACAAACAAACAAAAAGACTATTGACATTATGACATATTGATTATTGTCTAACAATGCACTTTTTACCGCTTTTAAAATAAAATTCAAGTCGCAGTCGTATAATGTAAACTTGCATATGGTCTTGCATGACCCCGAAAAAATGAAAATTCTCAGTTTATAGAAAGATTTAGTAAGGTTTCAGAAAGATTTGTAGACAGATGACGTTGAAAAAAAATACGGACATATAAATACCATCTGAATCCGGCAACTCTTCCCCTTCACGGGCATTTTCCTGGTGAATGGTGATTTATAAAAAGTGAACCAAATAAATGATAAATCTGAATACTTCAAACCATTATACATGTCAAGTAATATATATTCTATTTACTTATAAGATCAGATTTTAGAATCCTAAAATTTCCATCCTCTGGCACTTGGTTTTAGCCTACTATTATGAACTGTATAATACATATAAGTTTTGATTTGTGGAAATACAAACATGTATAAATTATTATTGCAAAGCTTTCGACCAGGGAGCATTTGGTGTATTAAAACGCTACGCCAAAAGCATTCGCAACGCTACACCAACATCCCACCCTGACCCATTCTTCCGACTATCACCCACGCTGCTTTTTATACGGATTGAAAGCTTTGCAATAATGAATTTGGTAGCAACGATATAGGTAGGGTGCAATGCAACTTGATTAGGTTAACTAGCTTAAAGTACAATTTTAAATGTCCGTAACTCCAGACGAAGCTTAGGGCAAATAGTCTGATTCACCAATTGAGTGCCAGCCCTCTCTTTAACAAGTGAAATCACCTGGCATTATAGACATATAGTAAAATATTACTTCACCTGGCATTAGACAGAGTAAAATAATAAGGTTAAAATCAAATATGTAACTTACAGCATTAATAAGTCTAATATTCCAACTACACTTAAACATAATGCCAATTGATTGGAGTAAATATTGTTCATCATAAGTCCTCTATAAACCCATCCTAGAAATATTTATTTCATGACTATCCAAGCATATCTAATTAACCCTAGGAATTTTCTTCTCCAAATTTTTGAAATAAACAGACGTGCAGAAACACAAAAACCAGAACAGCGAGTTAAATGTTAACCGAGGGTTAATGCTAACTCATTAAGTTAAAACAACCATTGGAGGGGGCTAATCATGCAATAAGAACAAACTTTAAATATTCAAGGGAAACTTTTTGCTGAGTGTGTGAGGGAGGGGGTGAGTAGAGGATGTATGGTATACAAGGTAGTACTCTAACAATTAATTATTTTATTCACTAATTATATATTAATTAACAACACTAAATGTTTTATATAAATTCACTAATCCAATTCAAGTAATGTACATTAATTCACAGCCAAAGCATGTACACTTTCTTTGACATTTTGGGCCAAATGGACACAAATCGTAGCAATTCACATCAAGCATTTGAAGTGTCAATATGTGTCTAGATGATATGACAGCATAATTTCTTCAGTGTGATCCATATGAAAATTAGCACTGGACATGTTGATGACAATTCTGTTATCCATAATGTAAGAAGTTAAATGCATTTTGATGATGATTAATCCAATGGTATGGTAGCATATAATGTGATGAGGAATATGTATACCATAAATATGTTTTCTCTTGAATTATTTAATCCATTCTGTGAAAATTTATTTGATGAAAATGTTGATGATATATAAGATGGTACGGAAGCTTCTTCTTAGTTGTCCATAACGTGAAAAGTTTAGGGCATTTTGATGACTGAATATTATAATAGCCATTACTCGATATGCGTTGGATATGCATGGTGATCGTGGTAGCATAATTTGATGAGCAGGATATATACCATATATTATGTTCTCTTGAAATTTCCTTTGTAATCAAAAACTGATGAAAATGTTGATGACAATTAATAGTCAATAAGAGCATAGTATAAATATATTTTCTCTTGAACTTTCAATTTTGTCATCCGGCCATCAAGATGAGGAATATGTATTTTAGTCATCTTTAACTTTGTTTAGAAATCATCACATCTATATATATATAAAAAGCAATATTAATTTACCTATACCAAATTATCTATTGACATTAAGGATCGAGGGGTTTAATTACATAAAAATAATAAATCCAACTTCGCCTTTCTCAATGTCTTGAACACAAGGTGGGAAGGCAAAATTGGAGTTATCATTTTTAATGATACATGCATTAACCCATTAGTGCATTAGACATCGTCTATTCATTCAGGCTAATACCACCAATTAATGAATTAAGTGTCCAATCATTCAAGAGTCAATATAGGTAAGGACCAAGTGTCCATTCATTCAGGCTAATTAATATGATCACCTAAATATACTCAACTAAGATTGTGAATCTAATAAACACTTACTTGGCGTTATACTAATAGAGTACCAGTAAATTCATGTTCATCCTTTATCATTTAGAAATCTCAATCGGATAATAATATTCCCTTATGTTCCTTGTTCTTCCAGCTGGCGTTAAATAAATGTAGTACGTGTTCAATGTCAACCCATTGAAGTGTCAAGAAAGATAAAATGCCTGCCTGGTTGTTTGAAATGTTAGTTTGTAAGTGGTATGCTAACTTAATGTTATAATAAGACATAAATATGTCACATAGATGCATGTTGGTTTACAATTCAAAATATTAGAACTAAATATATATAATAATAAAGCACAATTAAAATATACAGCAACCCAGTTATTGAATGAGATGTATATGGATCGATGGACCTAGAAATAAATAAAAATATTTATGGTAAATATGGTATAATTCATGAGACATAGTAAAATGCTAATACAGGTAAATAATACGTATATGTATATTACGTACCTCGATCTTCAATTATATTTAATTGTACTAGAAAATTCAAGGTAAGACATTCATTTCTTATTTTATATACCTCACACACATCTAAAATGTTCAGGTATCATTAACACTTACAAACACCATTCATTTCCTTACTTGTTTGTCAACCCTCGAACACATCTAAGATGTGCAGGTACCATTGACAATGCATTATCAACAACAATGCAAGCTTCCTCGAAACACAATAAAATTGTGCCAGGCGCCCTTCCTCTCAAAAATACAATGTCTATAACTGGAATAGTTAAAATGAAAAATTAGTTAAACAGTCTTCAAATACTCAACAATTCACGAGGAAAACACAAAGAAAAATCATATATAAGCATGCAGTATTTTATATGTGATAGAGGTTTCCCTTGATTTACATAAACTTCAACTTTGATTTTCTCGACTTACACAATGTATTTTTTTGAAAATTACTTCGCCAATAAACTTACTAGATCGATCGTTTTTAAAGCAATTTACTGTAAAACATTCACAGTGCGTGTTTTATCAGACCTATGAAGATACTCGGCTAGCTTCGTCTCGTATATTTATATCTGATAAAACACTGCTTCACATGTTTTAAATAGTCATCACGTAATCGTCTGAACAAGTTAAGCAATTCAAGATTGCTTTTGAAAAAAAAATTATAGTTCGCAGAGACATGCAGAACCTCGCTGCGTCATCAGCTTGAACCAATCATTGACATTGTATTAATAGGTACGGGCAATTACCTCGAAAGCACAATTGTGCCCAGGCTGAAAACTACTGGTGTTTGAATAGCACAAGCTTCGAAAACTGTTTACGTACTACCTTGTCGTGCATTCCTGCATTTCTCGTCTTGCTCAAATGGTGCATTCGGATCGTCACGTAACTTTGGCAGCAGCATTTAATCAACTTAAAAACATGGTTGTTTCCAGGAGTCGAATCAAACATGTGCTGGTCTAACGTACTAAAGACCCCACTTGCAACACAGCTGATAACACTGTCGTAGCAATCGCACTGGAAAGTCCAGCGCCATGCGGTAAACCACCTCCATTTACATTTAGCATTCTCATCACACACTTCTCTGTTTCTTCGCATATTTTGATGAGGCCAAGTGATGGTAGTTTCAAGCCTCCATTTGTTTTCCATGTTACGAATAAATCTGGAATGCTTTCTTTGCTCGTTGTCAACACTGCTAGACATTGTGGACAGTGGATCTTTTTCTCCACCATCTTCACCACATACCCAGCGATGTACGATATGGCCGCCTCTTTGTACTCAGATAGTTCCATGGCGTTCGAAACATCACAGTAGTCGTGTTCATCTGTAGCTGGCTGTCTCAACTCCAAGTCATATCTCCTTGCAATCGCCACATCAGAAATTCCAGTAGGTACGGAGTTGATTTCATGCTGATCCTGGACACTGTTCAATATTTCGGTATCATCTTGAGGGGTGCAGTTTCCACGCCCTCCTTCGATGTTGTGCCTCATTAGTAGCTGCTTGTATGCTGCTACGAATTGGCGAGTTGTTGGATTATTATTCCACCCACCACAAGCTCGCACAGCTGAAAAGAATAATTCCAAGTGATCTTGGCTCATCTTGTACGTCAGAAGATACTTCAGGACAGGATTCTCCGCATTAACGAGATCTTCTGCTAATCCCACAACAGCATTGATGCACAAAAGGAAACCAAGAAATCCTGTTTTCCTTTTTGACGTAAGGATCGACTGGCCATCTGGACCTTTCAGATTTCGAATGTACTCACTTGCCTCATCGAGAAACCTCTTTGTGTACTGATAGTTTGATCTTCTAATTGGCGCCTTGAAATTTCTCGCCAACGGATTCCTGGAATTCAGAACATCAAAAAGATGATCAAAAACACGAATGCATTGAACTGTTGGACCACACCCTTGAAATTGTGGCAATTTCAGCTTACCTTCACAATACTCCAAGGCATCTGCAACACTCGAACTGAGTGCCTGTGCTGCTAGATTTACCTTCATTTTCTGTGGCTTCCATTTGATATGAGCGGATCGGAGCTTATTGGCAAGATGTAAGCCCTCTGACTCTTGTAATTTATGCAATTCTTCTACGAATTGCCACTTGATGGTGTTGCCGTCCTTGTCCTTTAGGACCTTATAGTCCGACATGGTGTTTCTTACCAACTTTATCATGTGACAAGCATCTAGGAAGATGTAGATCTTTGCTTTCGGGTCACATGGATGTTGGAAGTACGCTTGCAAGTTATCAGGTGACAGTTGAGCGCCGAGCAATTTCAACATCGCCTGGTGAGACGTGGGGCCATCACACGTAAAAGACACAACCTTCACCCCTACTTCGTGCAACTTGGTTATGCATTCTTTGGTCAAGTTTGCTTTCTGCTCTCCGGTAAGACCATTCACCAGAAAATATCCGCATGGTACTTTCCAACCGGAGTTCACCGAGACTGCCATAAAAACAAGAGCATCTGTTGCTTCGGGCAGCGAGTCGTCATTGATGCCTGTGCCAAGGTCAACATAACCGCGGAACTGCTTACCATCCCATTCGACATGCTTGCGTATGGCCATCTCATCGAGCATTAGTGCACAAACAACTTCTTGGTTATCCCTTTTTGCAGCTAGAACTTTGGCTTTCAGAGCTGTCAGCGCATCCTTTGTAAAACCTGGCTCGCCATTCATGGAACTGTACCATGACCGAATCACGTTTACATGTGGCAGCCCTAAATCAAAACTTTTCCGCACATAGTTATACGCTTTAGTTGAATAAAATTTCAAGGTCAGGGCAAATGACCTTAGCTCAGGTGGATACGCCCCAAGATTTTTCTTTTTCTTTTGCGTCACCAACCTCTTCATAAGTTCCTTTGGAACTCCAGAGAAAGTTGATTCTAGAATAGTCACACAATCACTATTGATAAGATTTTTTTCTCTCAATTCACTTACCACTGCAGTCAACGTGCTAACCTTCTTATTCCTTCTCCTTGTTTTCTTCTGAGATGTATTCAATCTCTTCTGAAGATTTTCAAGTTTAACTACAAGATCATCAACTTGCCTTCTCACTCTACGAGGAGATTTTATACAGTATGAGTGATCACGTGCACCTTTTTCAGAAGAACTGGTCGTTCGCGCCCTTTTTTGAGACGCGCTTACGTCAATCTCTGTTTCATCCAAATATTTTCTCTTACCTCCTGGTGTACTTACGTTATCTTCAATAGTTATTTTTTCAATCACCTCCTGCATACTCACACAATCCATGGCAATGATCTCTTCATTAACCACCTGCAAACTTAGTGCTTCATCACTTACACTATCTTCGTTCATTACTATTGTTTCTACTAAACTACTTTTTTCGTCTGACATACAATTAAATTTTTCTACTTCTACAACATCCTGACTTGAGGCTTTCTTAGTACTTGCCTCTTCATTCTTCATTACCTACGGGAGTTACAGAATAATCAACACGTATTACTTAATGCATGAACATTTATAAAATGCAAAATAATTTTTTCAACCCCCAGCCCCCCCCCCCCCAAATGTCATGCAAATTTGCCAAATATATTATGTACCAATGCTTTCATGGTTTTAAAATTGTTGTAACAGCTTTTTGACACAGTTATTCAGCCATTCAAGGGCGTTTAGAAATTATCGGCAGGGGGTTGATATTGCCCCCTCCCTAGTAAATGACACTGAGGACAATATCAGTGCTGCTCTGACTTGTCATGAAGCAGTTATAAAGTAAACTATGAAAATTTTTTTTAATTAATTAATGAACAAAAATGACAAAAACGTTTTGGTCGACTAATTGACAAAAATGTTTTAACAGAATCAGTACTCGGGATTTAATATAGGTATGGTTGACACTTTGGAAAATATTGGCAGAGGGGGTGGGCAGAGGAGAATTATTAAAGTTTGTTCGTTCACTGCAACCAGGTATATCTATCATGTTTCGCTCGCTACTCTGGTTTAAATAAATGATTACAAAGCCCAGTCGAATTGTAATCAAGACCCAACGTTTCAACACTCCAGTCTAGTGTCTTCATCAGGGGTGATCTAAAACTGCGATCGTGGCTTCTTTAATACCCAAGGGATGGCATCACCTGCCAAGAAGATGCATATATTCCTCTGGCAAATAGGCGCCGTCATTCCTATTCAAAGCATGATGACTCATATTTATATGCCACGCTTCTAGGCAAAGTCTTTGACCGTAGCGATTGTTTGTGGTAATTACTTTAGAGTTTTCCCACGCAATCTCGTGTTTGGTGTAACATACATGTTCGGCTATAAAGCTGATTTTCCCTTGTCTAAAGTTGAAACAGCCTTTTGATGTTCTTTTAGCCGTGTACCAAACTGGCGTTTAGACTGACCCAAATACTCTTTGTCGCAGTCACCGCATGGTATAGAATATATAGCATGAGTCTTATTTTTTTCAACAGGATCTTTTGGCTTTGCGAAAATATGGCCTAAAGTCAAATAGGGTTTTAAGGCAACCCTAATATTACAATTACTTAAGATTCTCTTGATTGGTTCTGTGACACCTTGAATGTATGGAACTATTGCAAAATCCTTAACAGAGGTATCACCCTCGGAGTTATTTTGGTTCCTACAAACAGGTGATCTCAGGCAATCATTAAGAAAACGCTTTGGGTAATTGTTTTCCCCTAAAACATTTAGAACATATTCACGTTCATTAGCTTCAGAATCACTGTTTGACGGCAACGATTCAGCTCTTTGAAGCAAAGTTTTTGCTACGGATCTTTTATGGCTTACTGGGTGATGAGAGTCGTATGACAAGTATTTGTCTGTGTGTGTGGGTTTGCGATAAACATCAGTCTCTAACTTCCCTTCGACAGTTCTGTGTACATTCAAATCTAAAAAAGCTAAATGTCCATTTAATTATCTCACGTTCTACCGTGAATTGGATGGACGGCTCAATAGAATTTAAATGTTGCAGCAGAATATCGATCTCATTTGTAGAAACCGCAGAGATGACATCATCGACGAAACGTTTCCAAAACAATAGGGACACCGGAACAGAGGCTAACAAAGAGCTTTAGCCTCTGTTCCGGTGTCCCTATCGTTTTGGAAACGTTTCATCGATGATGAGAATTATTAAGTTGCCAATAATATCTCACACTTTCAGTGGCCAGTGCTATTTGCTTTTTTGAAAGGCTTTCATAAATTATTGATCATCCTGGTGGAGTTGCCCCCAAGGAGGAAATTGCCCCCAAGGAGGAAATTCCCCCCAAGGAGGAAATTCCTGGAGGGGGAGGGGAGAAAAAAATTGTTTTTGATAATGTGTAGGGATTTCCTCTTTGGGGGAGGTATGGATGTTTTCTGAAATGACCCATAAGCATCATATTGCACCCTGCCTCATTATTTTGTCCATAATATAACACTAGAGGATGTTACTCGTCAAGTTGAAGGCAGAGCAGTCAGGTGCTCAATGGGTTAACTAGCAAGTGAGACTAGCAAGAGTCAGTAAGCTATTCCATTTGACATCTAGTGAGTACACACCCTGTCAATCAGATATCTGGAATACTTCAGGGCCACAGTTGATGCCAAATTGCCTGAAAATCTTAAGGCACCTGCAAAATTGGACTCGCGCAGACACTGAGTAATTCATCAGAAGTTGAGTATTTTGTGCTCGGAATTCCTCTTGTGTATTAAGGTGTTTGTACTTGGAATTCCTCAGGGGTATACAGTATCTATGAGAAACATCTTCCCTTGACAGGGGTGCATGTGCAGATATTAAATGGGCTATTGAGGAACCCCTGTTGAGGAACCCCTTTCTCACGTTGGTACTCCCCTGGAATTTCCGCAAATTTTCATGTAAAATTTACACCTTCCCATGGAATTTCCTTGTAAAGATTACCCTTGCCCATGGAATTTCGATTTTAAATTAGGCCTTCCCATGGAATTTCCATTTAAAATTTCGCCCTGTCCATGGAATTTTCATGTATAAATTACCCTTCCCTATGGAATTTCCATCATGGGACATTTGCTCCCGGAAATTTCCTCTAACATATGTCCTCCCATGGGGTTTCTATCCCATGAAATTTACTCCTCCCTCTGGAAATTCCATGTGAGAATTACTCTTCCCCCTTGGAATCCAGAGCCTGAATGCCCCATTCCCTGGAAATTCCAGGGCTACCCCTCCCCTGGAAATTCCAAGGTTAATGTACCCACTTCCCCTGGAAATTTAAACTTAATGCACCTCTCCCCTGGAAATTCCAAGGTTAATGCATCCCCTCCCCTGGAATTCCAAGGTTCCTCAACAGGGGGTGTGCGGATAATAATTGGAATAGCCCAATGGAAATTATAGCCCAATTTAAGTGTCAACAAAAACATTTTCTGGGCACAAACGGAGGTTAAATTTTTAAATATTAAATGATGAAGAAAACTGACAAAGACACAAACCTGAGAAGTTGGAAATATTGTTGGGACAGCAAATGGCTTCAGTATCACTCTTTGTCCACCCTCTTCCTTCATGTCAGAGCTAAAGTGTTCTGAACAAAGACGACTTCCTCCTGTCGGAACGAATTTAACCTGTGCATTTTTGTTGTCATTTTTAAGCCATTTGGCGTACATCTCTGCGTGTTTCTTTGGATCTGGGAAGCTGTAAATATAAAATTAATATTTCGTTATTTTGACCTTATTGCCTACACAACTGATATAAATTTGGCAGCTAGAAGCCAGTGGCGCCTAATCCACTATCCAAAACGGCACAAAATATATGTATTACTGTGAAACAGAGATTGATATGAATAAATCACATTTTAATAGCTGTATGGAGTATCATTCTCCTGCCACGCAGGCTACTGTGCTGACTGCTTAGCTTAATGCTTCAAAGTATTTTAATTTGACGCCATTTCGTCTTAAAAAACTTTTTTGTCACGGTAAATTGTAGCTACTGCAATATGCCACAACAAAGAAAAATAAAAATAATCTCAAATTACAATATTAAAGGTAAACACAGTTATGAATTGCAGCCTTTTACAACTATAATAAATATTAATTATTAAGCTGCTATAAAATAAACTCAAATAAACTACTGTCGACGTCAGTTTAATACGGTAACAGACTATAAACAGCCCGCTTTTTATTTAAAAAGTTTAACGCATTCTTACCGGTGAGAAGAAATATTTTCTGTTGAAAAAGTATCGTTGCATCCGTAAAAAGAGCATAGACGAGGCATTTGTCTCGAGAAAAATGATTTCTGCTTTGAATACAAAATATTTTTGTAAAAACCAGGGGGGTGAAGTACATTGTCAAAAGCTTAGGATCGCGGTTGGGACAGTGGTAGTTGCCACGAATCTAGGGACCAGTAGTCATGGCAATGGCGTCAGATCTGCCATGTTTTTGCGGACACTTTTTTATCCCGAGCAGGTCCTCCAGTAATATAGTATAGCTCATATACATACATACACACACACACACATATTATATATATATATACGGATTGAGTTTTCAACATTTATTTTAATAACAATTATGTTAGGAGTTGTTTTACATTATGGGGCGACATAATATATGATTTTTGACCAGTATCGGATAATTTTTGCAACGAGGTCAGAAAAGGAAGACATCAAGTCCTTCATCTGTCAGTGACCAGTCTCCCAGTAATTTGGACCAATGCCCAATATGCAGAATAGAAAGCAATAGCATTTGGGTGGGGTGTGAAAGGTGCAAACAATGGTTTCATTGCAGATGTTTGTCAATGGCAACAGACTGCCAAAGACGAAAAATTTAAATGTCTGTCCAAAATGTATATAGAATTGCAAATGAAACATGTTTATAAGAATTAAAAATAAAGGATAATATGGTAGAGCTGTATCATTTCTGTAGAACAGTATATTGTCAGAGAGCTGTAGAGCTGCATGTGTTCTTAGACCGACGACGTTCCTATGTTTGCAAATTGGCTAAACAGATGCAACTTTTATCATTTTATTATTGACCTTGAGCGAGGGGGATTCGGCAAATATTACCCGAAGTGATGATATTTCCCGAGGGGTTTTGCACCAAGGGAAATATCATCACTGATGGTAATATTTCGCCGAATCCCCCGAGCGGAGGTGGATTTGATATGATATGATTCAAGTCACCGACTTGCAAATAGGGACTTTACGATTTAGGACAGCAACGGCTACCAATGGTGTACGAGTTATAACATAATTGCAAAATATCCATTGATTTGCAGGGTTACATGTAGGGTATTTCCCCAAGAAAACGTTTAAATTTCCAAACATTTCCTGAATTTTCTGATAGGTATTAAAATAAAAACCAGATTCACTGCGGTCTATGTCTGAGATCGAGTTGTAGAGCTGTAGAGTTGTACATGTAGTTGATGGTTTTTGAGCAATTGCTGCACCTTTTTTTTTGTTAGAAACAACATGCAAACATTTTTTTATCATGAGAGATTACGAAAGATACCATTGGGAAAATTCTGTTACCATAGAAACATAATTTTCTAAGCCTGGTTTTGTTCCGGTGTTCAACACGAAGAACAGCTGTGTGAGCTGTTCCTCGGTGTAGCATTGTAGAGCTCTACAGCAAACTGACACAAAATTGACCCCCTCCCATTCCATGGTCCCTTTTAACATATTATTGTATTTAAACTGTTACCTGTACCTCAAACAATACATTGGGTTGTTTACAGTGTGAATGGTCTGACTCTTTGTCTGTATTTGATGAAATATTAATTAATACTTTTATAATTTTTTGAAATTAAGTTTTAATTAATTTAAGGATTATTATTATTTCAATTTCAGAGACTCCAGATTTCAATATTTCCCAGGGAATGATCCCCCTGACCCTCCAGGCCTGGCCATTCGAGGCGCACAATTGCATGTGCCCACCTCCGCACACACCTTGACATGGCCTTTTAACGTGCACCTCATTTGTTTTAAGAGTATGAAATTGTGTGTCTGTTTTTTTATTCTAAATGAATTTTTGCCTGAACAAACCCTCCCCATTTAGACTAGTTATAAAAGAATGACTGATTTAATGCTGACCAAAGGAAATGATCACTGCTGGTCGACGAAGGAACGTAAGGAGATTCGTCAACATGCATTAGAATTTGCATGGGAAAAGACATGCATGGAGAAAAGACGCAAAGTCAAACTCGACAGCAACACCGCGGATGAAGAAACTCCTGTTAAAAAAGCGTATAATTGAGAAAGACGCCATAGCCATTGACGATGATTTGTCAAGCTCGTCAGAAAGCAAGTCAGAGGACAGCGATGCTGACATTTTCATTGATATTTAAAGTACAATTACTTTGAATAAATACACATACTCACTGGTACAAACATTTTATATAGTACCTATACTAATTTCGTCTAAATTCCAATGTTAAGGTTACAGAACACCTTTGAGTGTTAATTTTGCCCAAATTTTTTTTACTGGTTTGCATGGAAGCATTAGACTGGTTCTACTATCTGACCAAGTTTGAACGAAAAATGTTGAAAACTCGCAAAGTTGTCTAATAAAATACATTTCGCTGTAATAAGAAAAACATTGAAAATGTAATATTCAATTTTCTCCTGAAGAATTTTACAGCAATTACTGATTTTCAAACGAGTTGTTCTCCTGCGGGTTTTAATGAATTTTTCTCAAATTATCGCAGGACATAGCTACAGACGTCAGTTTCAAAATTGTGTTTGGCTTTTTTCTAATTTTGGATATTTTAATAATAAGGAGCAATTCACTCAAACGATTCAGAAATTATATTGCAGTCGTCAAGGAAATTGCCATATCAGCGGAATGACGAAATAAAGAAAAATTTCCGAACACAATGTTTAGAACAACTATTTTACTGTGTATGAAAATTATATTTCAATAAATATATCTTAAAACCAGCAGGGAACATAACTCAAAAGCGGAAAGGTACCGCGATTTAAGATTTTCCTGAATAATTCTTATATTATTTTATTGTTTGTCAATTTTACAACTTGACCATATTTTGCATGGACTGAAAATCGGACTGATATTTAGCGTGCAGTTGCGATTTTCCGCAAAACGCCCAAAAGGGTATCCTGTAACCTTAAAATTATTTTGTTCTACATAAATTTTTACTCAGTTTTGTGAATGTTATTCTAGACTGTATACTCAATAAGCGTAATTTTTACCATTTTTTATTTGCGCGCCTGATGTTAATATGGTGTGCGATATGCTGCGTGCCTGCCCAAATACTTACGGCCTGGCCTGACCATCCTACAAGGTTCTTGGCATTCGGTCAATGGGCCCTTTTTTCAGTTATGCCCTCCCCCAACTGCTAAATCCTTAAAATATGCTTTAAAATTACAGTATGACCATATCATTGACCAATAATGACTGGTGTAGTCAGTTAAGTAAACTTTGGAAAATAGAAATTCTATTATACAACTTTTTGATGACATGACATCATCACTATCAACAATAGAGAAATGACATGACCACAAGTCTGGCGAGTCATGTTGGCTCCACCTCCACTAATCTTCACCTTGCTTTCTCACTATTTTAAACTTGGATCTCACCCTTTTTCAATCACAAATTAGACCAGATACAGTTGCGCATTTTGCGTTAAAACCACCGCCCACAAGAAGCAGAAAAGTGCTAAAACAAGCTAGAAGAGAATAGGTAAGACTAATCGCGATAACAGGATTAGATCAGGATCATTCACGATAACAGGATTAGATCAGGATCATTCCGGGAATAAGCAAGTTGAAATCCAACATCAGCCAAATTGGCAAGCAGGACTGTGTTATATCTGAGCTGAAGAAAGATCTGGTTGATCGACTCGTTGACCATGCCTTTAACAGAGGAAAGGCAGATTCATACTAACATTGACAATTACATCTCTGCGATAATCACCAATGTTGACAACAGATTTCCCACAAGTTCTGTTAATGTTCTGGATGCATTCTCTATTTTAAATGTTGAACAGCTTGCTCCTGATCCAGAATCCATGTTATTCCAGTTTTATGGTGATAAAGAAATAGATGATCTGAAGAACCATTTATTTCAATCTGATTTACAAGATCAAGAGAAACTTCTTTGTGAATGGCGATCTTTCAAATTCTAACTAATAGAGCTTAGGAAGAAATGGCTTCATTTCAAAGACCAGGTTATCGTAAATAAACTGAAGTTAAACTATATAGCAACAGAATGGGTACTTTGTCAGGTTTTGGGTCAGTTCCAGGAAGAATTTAGTCATGTTGTGGCAACGGCAACAGAACGTGGTGGTAGAGCAATTAAGCGCATAAAAGCTAGATCTCAAAGCGAAATGAAAAACGACATGTTAGAAGCTCTTATGATGATATCAATGAATGGTCCAACTCCAAACAGTGAATTGGCTAACAAACTCATCAGGAAGGTTGCTGTGCGTTTTGAATCAAGCCGCTGATACAAATGACCCACAGCAACTCACATTTTTCCAACAAGATCATCTTCTTCTGTGTATGTTCAAATGGATGACATCTTGTGGCTTGAAAGTATAGATGCTGAACAAGAACCTGAAGCTTTCGACAAAGAAATTAAAAGTCTGGAAGAACACCTAGACATCTCAGTAAAGAATGTTGGGTCTTGGGTTGCTGACCTGCAATCAGAAGTCGAAAGCAACAACGAAACAAGCGATGAAGAGATGGATGAAGATTCATATTAAGGTTACAGGACACCCTTTTTGACGTTTTGCAAAAAATCGCCACTGCGCGCTCCAAACCAGTCCGATTTTCATCAAATTTTCTCCAAATGTTAGCCAGTACATGTAAAATATGGTAAAGTTGTAAAATTGACACACAATAAAATGATGTAAGAATTATTCAGGAAAATCTTAAATCTCGGTAACTATATGTTTTAAGTTATGTTCCTGCTGGTTTTAAGATATATTTATGAAAATATCATTCTTATACAGTAAAATGGTTGCTCTAGAAAATTGTGTTCGGAAATTTTTGTTTATTTCGTCATTCCACTGATATGGCGATTTCTTTGACGACTGCAATATATTTCTGATTCGTTTGAGTGAATTGCTCCTTATTATTAAAATATCCAAAATTAGAACAAAGCCGAACACAATTTTGAAACTGATGTTTTTAGCTAAACCCTGTGAAAATTTGTAAAAAAATTGTTAAAGCCAGCAGGAGAACAACTCGTTTGAAAATCAGTAATTGCCGTAAAATTTTTCGGGAGAATATTGAATTTGAATATTACATTTTCAATGTTTTTCTTATTGCAGAAAAATGTATTTTATTAAATAACTCTGCAAGTTTTCAACATTTTTCGTTTAAACTTGGTCAGATAGTAGGACTAGTCTAATGCTTTCATGGAAACCGATAAAAAATTTTAGGCAAAATTAACACTCAAAGGTGTTCTGTAACCTTAAAGAATAAGATTCCACAGTCAGAACTCAAAAATCCATGATTTTTAGTTTTACTTGGAAAATATTACCTTATTTTCACACACTGTTTTGACATATAATTATTTTAACATTTCCCTGAACAGTTTGTTTTGCACAAGTGCTGTATATACTTAATGACTATACTATTGTATAGTGAATTTTTCATGTTTTTTCAAAATACGAAAATAATTAAAATTTTTAAACGCGACTTTTATTCATGTTTAGCCTTAAAATATAGCGATTTATTCAAAAACACCAGATTGTTCAGATTCATTATAAAAAACCCCAGATTGTTCAGTTGCATGGTGTATTTTTAATCCCTGAAATGTCGGGAAATGGCATTTGCAAGGTCTAAAATTTTCTGGGAGGCACGCCCTCAGATCCCCCTAGATTCATGGGCCTTTGGTCCAGACTTGCCATGTCACCAAATTCATTCTCCGATGTGATCATAGGAGTCATATTGTAAAAATCAATCTTTTCATGATATGCATTTTTATTTATTTTTAAACTTGTCTATTTTACTACAGTAAACTTGGATTTACATTTCAAATATGAATGTATTGACACAGTATAGGAAAAGTACAGTAGGGCCACTCAGCATAAAAAAGTGTCTACATTGTTTACTGGCTGCCAACCTAATTTACATATTGGCAGCCAGTAAATGGCAGCAGTCCACTATAAAATTGTACTACAGAATAATGATTTTGGCCGCGTAAGACACCTGGAACCTAGCTTAAATAATTGCCACTTTTCTCTCCCCTAAGTGGCCCTACTGGTTGTCTCCCTATACTGTGGTATTGGGTCACCTAAATGATCCAGTATATATGAGTTGTGGTAAGCATATGAAATCAAATATATCTATAAAATTTCACCTGCCATTTTTTTTTTTTGACTTGGCAGTTTTTTTTGACCTGCCATTTCTAAAATATGGCCTGCTTTTGGCCATTGGCAGCCCGCTATTTCAAGCCCTGGCTGAACAGGTTTTTAAATTCTAGGTTCTTATACCGGTTCTTATGATGTATTGATTTAACATAATGTAAAAACTATACCAGGTATGGCTTTCCAATAATTTTGTAGTATTAAGAAAATTCTAACCAAAATTTTGGTATACAGTGCTAGATCTTTCATTTCATATTGGGCGAGATATAAATGTTTTTAGCCAAAGTTCGGTTTGAAAATTGGTGAAAAAATCCACTAACATTTGTTCGGGAGTATGGAAAATTTTATAAGATTATTTTATGCGGCAATTGGCCCTTGTCTCCTTGATCTCCTGATCTGGCGATTTGCAACTTCTTTCTTTGGGGATATTTGAAGCAACAAGTCTGGAATGTCCCGCATGAGCAGCAGCCTAGGAATTTGAGACAGCTCCGCCAGGCAGTTATCTTATCATGCCAAAGTTTAGATGCACAAATGATACAAAGCGCTTTTTCTGGCATGGTTAACAGCTAGAGCACGACGTTGTATAGCTGTTCAAGGACATGCTTTTTCAGATGAATAAATCATGGAATGTGTAAATATTATTTATCGTGCGTTTTTTTGACAACAACAGCATTAAATTAAATCTTAATTTGATAGGCCGATTTAATGTAATTTTAAGCATTTTCAAAATTGCCTCTTTGAAATGAAACTGTAGTATTTCATTCAATATTGCTCATATATCTTCAAGTCATATATCAAAATTTAAGTTAGGCCTTTCTGAATTCAGTGAAGTCTATTTGATTGAAACTCCTTAACGGTATAACAAGGTAGGTAGGTAGGTAGGTAATACTTTATTTAAAATTAACAGAAAGAAGAACACGCTTGCCCCATCAACTCTAGGCTGGTTTCCATGGGGGGCGTGTTTAGATCTTAAAAATCGTTAAAAGGAAAATTTAAACTAAATATTAGTACACACATACTGTACATGTTACTATATACAAATAATTAGGAAGCATGTCGCTGTCCAACAATTGATTTAAACGAATGAGGCGACTCGGCCAATTTTGCTTCGTTTGGGAGTTGATTCCAGAGCATAGCGCCGCTATATTTAAAACTTTTTTTAAGAAATTCTCCTTTCGGTTTAGGAATTGTTAGATCAGTTGCTGTATTTCGAAGATGATAATTAGTTTGATCTATTTCTCTTCTCACGAATGACCCCGGAGACCTGGCGCAGTGTGGTCGTTAAGTATTTTATACATTAATACTGACTTGGCACCAGACCGCCTATTTTCAAGTGTATCCCAAGAAAGCATGTTGAGAAGATCAGCTGAGCGAGTATCATAATTAGCACCCGTTAGGACTCTTGCTGCACGAGACTGAAATCTTTGCAACTTGTCTCTTAGCAACTTACCACAAGTGTCCCAAAGGGGGAACAATAATCAAAGTAGGGCTGCACAAGACTTTTATAAATCGATTCTAAGGTATGCATTGGAACAAAGGGCTTTATACGTTTCATAGCGCCAATAGCAGCGCTCGCCTTCTTGCATATCATTTCAATGTGACTATCCCAATTAAGGGTTTCATCTAGTTTTACTCCTAGGCACATTTGTGTAGCAATTCGTGATATGGGTTTTGCATTAGCCACAACGGGTTCCTCACACATATTATTAAGATTATACGGGGAGCCAATAAACATCATTTTACATTTTGATGGATGCATCTGCAGCCTATTTTCTTTAAGCCAGTTACAGACATGGGCAAGATCTGAATTTAAATTTACAACAAGTTCATTTGCATCATATTCAAACAATCGGGCAAATCATTAATATATAATAGGAATAGCAGTGGTCTCAGTATAGATCCCTGGGGCACTCCACAGGTGATAATTTTATTACTAGATAGTTATCCATTAACATTACATTGCTGTTCTCTATTTGTTAAATATGACTCAAACCATTTTAATTCTACGCCAAAAATTCCAAATTGCTCATTCATTTTATTTAACAAAATGCGATGGTTTATAGAGTCAAATGCCTTTTTGATATCTATGAACACAACCCCATTTAACTTTCCATTGTCCATATTTTCTAGCCACTCATCACACATTTGGATGAGGGCAGTTACAGTTGAATGCTTTGGACGAAATCCAGATTGAAACTTTGACAGAAGAGAGCTTTCAGACAAGTATCTATATACCTGACGGAAAATTTCCTTCTCAAAGGCTTTACTCACCACCGGTAAAATTGAAATAGGCCGATAGTTATCACATTGTCTTTTATCCCCGGCTTTAAATATTGGCGTAACACGAGCACGCTTCCATTCATCTATATATACGCCTGTTGCAAGCGACAGATTGAAGATGAATGTCAACGAGGGTGCAATTATGTTTGCAGATAATTTTAGAATTTTAGCAGGAATTTTATCAAGACCTGTTGCTTTACATGCTTTTAGGCCTCTTAGGGTCGAGGCAACACTATCAACGGATATCGGAGATACTTTAAAAAAAGTATCTGAGGATTGATTAATATTATAGTTTATGGGCTGATTATCAACATTACTACAGGACTCGTCTACATATTCTGCTGCTAGCCTCGACCCAATACTAATGAAATAGTCATTAAATGCATCTGCAATAGATTTAGGATCCAAAACTAACGTGCTGTCAACCAGCAGCTCATTCACATTGTTGGATTTGTTATTCTTTCCCAATAATGAATTAATTAATTTCCAAGTCTTTTTAGGGTCATTCATTACAGAGCAATCAGTGATTTTATCATGAAAATATTTTGATTTCACATTTCGCATTTCAACATTCACTTTATTCCGCAGAAATTGAAAACTTTCCCAATATGGCTGTGAGGAATGTTTTATTGCATATTTTTTATAATAGTCTCTGTTTCTCATCATACATTTAATTTCCGGAGTAATCCATGGGACCGAGTTCCCCTTTACTCACTTATGTCGAATCGGCACATGTATATTTAATATCTCGTTAAAGAAAGATTTCCATACCCTCCAGCATTCGTTGGGATTATTATATTGATTAATTACATGCCAAGGCATTCTGGCTAAATCCCCAATAAAATATTCAGCATTAAAATGTTTATAATCCCTAACTTCTTTCACATTAGGTTTAAGTTTTGGAAGGGTGAACTTCCTGACCACATAAATCAAACTATGGTCAGACATCCCCAGATCTATTACACCAGACGTCGAAATGTTTTCTTTAGCATTAGTTAAGACCAAATCAATCAAGGTCGCCGAGGTGTTGGTCTCTCTTGTAGGTTTATTAATTAATTGGTCAAGTTGATAAAGAGAACACAAAAAGTTTAATTGTCGTGTATGGGCATCTGGCGAGGTTTTCATAACATTGCAGTTAATATCACCAATTATAATCAATTCCTTATTTTCAGACTCGCATTTTTGAAAAAATACATCACAATCATTAAATAAGCTCAAGTTTGACTTCGGAGGCCTATACCATGTGCAGACAAAAAGCGACTTGCTAAAGGGGTGAGTAATTTCAGCACACAGCATCTCAAGACGATCAGGCACCAAGTCATTCCTATCCAAATAGGATAGGTTGTCTCTGATATACAACACCACACCGCCTCCTGCCCTATTACGGTCCTTTCTTATCAAGTTAAAACCAGGGATACTTATTTCCCCATCCATTACAGAATCATCTATTTTGGATTCATTAATAGCAAAAATATCGAAAGGAAATTTAAATAACAGATGCCTAATTTCCTCAATGTGTTTCAATAAGCTATTGACATTTATACTAGCAATTTTTAGGCCTTTTAATCTAGCGACGCAATGCAATGCAGAATCAAACTCACCCATTGTTGGACCACGGCATGCTTTACCTGAATTGTCATTCCCAACATCTAACGGCGAGGTTTCTTGTATAGTGGAATTGTCGTTGGTTGGGTTGTTAGCTGGGTTAGTAGTTGTCCCAGCTGATGTATTGGGTTTAAAAAACCCGTTTGCAGCTTCGCTCGTTTTCCCAATGGCCTAATAAATTTTATAAAATTATTGGCTAAATAAGCGGAGGGGGGTGGAGGGGGGTGGGGGAGATGGTTGCTGCCAGGTAGAAGAGTTTCAAATCATAGCTTGGTTTATAATGTACCCAGTGTATGAACAGCAGTCACATCAGTAACAGTTCTGTTAAGTGTGGATGACATCTTTCGATAAAACTAATGAAGGTACTATAGTATATACAGTAGCTTTAAGGATGAGAATTACATTCTTACAAGTAACATCTTTAGTGCTCCAATAACATTTAGTCTAATTGCTGCCGAAGGCAGCACAATATTCTTGATGATTTGTTTTTCTCGCACCAGTCTGTTTCCAGCCGAGTTATGTATAGCCGAACGACAACTCGATATTGGAGGTGTACGGATTTTCAGATTTATGACGTATTTTGACGTCACAGAAATTTAAATAACATACTCCAGATTGCGATTTGACTTTCTGAATGCCCTGGCTGAGACTCGCGAACACCACCATGGATTACACCACAGTATTACAATTTGTAAACAACACGTTGCCTCGTGCCTTTTGTAAATTTTGATTCCAGCAAAATTTATCTCTGGCTGTTTTATATTTGCAATATTTTTCAAGGTATTAGATGAAAGTTTGATGACAAATAACAATGTGTTTTGGTTGAAGTATTTTACTCGTTGAAATGAATGAATTATTCACTGTTTAAATTATTCAATTTTTAGGTGCATACAAGTCTGAACCACTACAAATTTACAATTTGTCATTCCTCATGCTTGCTGTTGTTGCCTGTTGTAAATTTTGATTTGCGTCTGGCTGTTTATCAAAAATATTTTTCAAGGTAAGATGAAAGTTTGATTTTGGTCGAATTATTTTACACATTGAAACAAATTAATCAACTGTATTTTTATTAAATTTTTAGGTGCTGCTACACAACTCTTCATATATTAAAACAATTAAGTGGAGTAAAAAATCTGTTTGATCACTTGATAGAACATCGTACCTGAAGGTATAAATAAATATAGTGATAGTTTATTTTTGATGTCGTTATTATGGGAATATCAATTGAGCAGTATCGTGCCCACATTCGAAGTTGGAACACATGCATAATTGTATACGAATGAAAACTTGTCCAATTTGTTTGCAAGATAACTTTCGTTATATAGTGTTGATGTTATTTCAATTGGTTATAATAATGGCCATAATGTATGTTAATTAATAATATTAATATGTGTTTGTATATGTTACTTCAGCATATTTTTTGTGTCACCACTACATCCAAATTTAGCAAGCCATTGTGACTCTGCTGCACAAATTCAGCAAGCCATTGTGCCACTGTCACACAAATAAATCAGCATGCCATTGTGCCACTGCTACAAACAAAATCAGCATGCCATTGTCACACAATTAATCGGCAAGCCATTGTGCCACTGCTGCACAAAATAAGCCAATATTTGCCAGAACAATATCGCTTTTTGCTCAAAAAACTTTAAATTCTACACAATATATTTACGTAGGCGGAACTGTCAGTAATTGTCTTTTGTCAGTAAATGTAATTGTAAACTGCTCTTGTATAGCACTATTCACTCTGTATCATATCTTATATCACTAGCACATTATAAATCTACCTGTCGAAGACTGCAGACTGGCAGTCGAAAGCTTGTTAATAAATAAATCTTTTTTAACCAGAGAACGTTTACACAATTAATTATGAATCCTGGTTTCGCTTCCAACATTTTTAAAAATTATAGCTATAGCAAATAAATAAGAGCAAAGCCGTAGAGAACCATTTATGCGATAACTCCGCTTATTTAAGTCGCGTCTCATCATATCTCAGGACACTGGTTATTACATTAGATATATGATGATCAATTCTATGTGGAATGTGCTATCCAACGATGAAGAAATTATTGATCTGAAGTACTGTACTAAATTAGCACTCAAATACTGAATTAACATGGTACAAGCCCATTAGTAGACAAAGTTATTTACTTATTGGTGATGAATTTGTTCGATTAATAGCCCTGTTGGTAGAACCTGAAGTAAACTGTTAAAAGGAACAATCGACCTATTTCATCAACTCTCTCCTAAATGTTAAAAGGAACAATCGACCTATTTCATCAACTCTATACAACTATGCAATGCCAGCAAATCTACAAACTTGCCTGTCAACATCGAGCCACAGGCTAGAGCTGTTAACAGAAATAATAAAAATTTTAGCACCAAAATACCAGTGTTACTGTATTATAGTCAAATATTTACACAATGAAACTTAGTGAAGTGATTAGTGAACTGACAAGTCATTTTTGCTCATTAGCTTGTGCCATTTATTGAAGTCAACTTGTGTGGCAGTCCTAAATATGATTGTACTGCACCATTGATTGCTATTGGATCATTGGATTTGCAGATCTAGCAAATGTAACATATTATATAGGCATGACAATAAATAGAACAAAATAAAGAACTTTGTGGACTCACACAAATAATTAAATACAAAATGGGTATATTCTAAGGGTGAAGTCCTATTTTATTTATATAAATTTAATGTTACAATATCAAAACTCCTTACCAGACATTCCAACCTCCGAGTCCTCAAAACCAGGACACTTCCCAATTTTCCCATTTTACTTAAATAAACACCGCTCTCGTATAAACGCCTTCCTCGAATAAATGCTGTGCTTTTCTCATTCATGTGGTGTCTATTTGTGTTGGTGTTAAAATTGGCTGGGTTGAGTTTGAATTAAACAATAAATTCACAGTGGATGCTACAAAAACTAGTTTTATTACACTAACGTTGAAACCCATTATAAGTAATATAACATCTTTTCAACAAGCTTTAATTTCATTTAAATAAATTCAGTCAACTATTGTTTATTCTGTATCCCAAGGTATTAAACAGATAAGGAACAGTTATAAGAACGTGAGTATTTATATATACAGATTACAGTGCTGGCGAAATTGTTTCGTTTTACTACTGGTCTTTTGAACTGTGATCCTCGTTGTACAAAGGTGTTGCCGATTTACACTTCTTCAACAATTTATTGGAGGGTTTCCATTTGTAGCAGGGCAATAGCTCTCTTGGAATTGACATTTTTATCCGCATTATGGCATTCAACGAGCCTCCTAACTGAAGTCGTGATCGGAACTCTGTTTTATTCTTTCGGATTGTCGAAAAGACTCTCTCCTCACCAGTGTTGCTGTGTGGTATCACGAGAACAGATAGTGCAATCTTGCCTAGTAGTGGGAGTTTCGATTTCAAATAGCCCCAAATGACATCCATGCGATATTGCTTATCTTGAATATCTCCGATTTGTGCAGCCTCCCAAATATTTCGGGGAATATCAGTTTCACACATTCCTTGGTAGTCCAAAAACTGTTCCTCTACACTATCTAACAATGTTGGATCGTTGAGTACCCCTTCGTGCACTCACTTGAAACAACCAATGGTTTCTTCAATATGAGAGAAGCAAACTTCGGCTCGCTTGTGAAAATCAACGAATACACAGTTTGGGAGCCACTGAACACGAATACACAAGTGGGAGCCACTGAACACAGTACTCGTACGCTTTCATAAAGAAGGCTCTCACTGCATCGAAAAACTGGTCAACCTTTTCTTGGTCGACTTCCCCACTATCCAGCAGCCGTTTAATGGCGTTTCTCGTAAGGGGACCGATTCCTAAGCTTATGTCATCTCTTTGGTTTTCAACGCAGACATGTAATTCTGCAAACAACAATTTCTTTGACTTATGTTCTTGAATGACGGCAGGCTTGATAAATTTCGAGGCTAGTTTATGCATAAATCTTTGTTGTGCATCGTGTAGTTGGTAAACAAGCGGATCTTCTCTCTGAAGAAACTTATTAAAGTTTGTAAAACAGGGGAGAGTGGCTTGATAAAAGAGGAGATAAACCTCAGCAATTGCGTCGTTGTAGAAACTTTCAAGTCGCTTAAACCGTGCATCTGGAAAGTGCTCCAACAGAAAGTAGGATTTTAGGCCTTCGTATTTCTTCAACTCGCAATTCACGCAAAGTTCCAGGCTTAGCCACCGTGTTGAAATAAACTTTATTATTTCTTGATACTCGCTATCACAGAACTCGTAGCATTCCTTGAGAATACTTTTCCTTTTGCTGGATTTATCAAACCAGTAGAATACATCAACACAATGATCTTCTATGTCAAAGCCAGTAATCTCCGAGAAAGCTGTTCCAGCTTTACTGGCGGCATTATGAAGGATGTGACATGGGCATCCAGCTATGATAATGTCCTCATTCTTTTCTTTTGCTCGGGACTTGATTGAATTATGAATAAACGGGTATTCCTTTTGATATTCTGCCGAATATTTTGTTTGCCGTTTAGGTTTCTTTGCGGGTTGTGCCATTATCTTTTAGCGCGAGTATCGATTAGTTTTAATAGATAATCGCGAGTTGTAAAAATTACTCAGACGTTATTCAATAAATTTGTTATGTTTTAGCGCTGAGCGTAGACTGTATATCTTATAGCATTTCCAAAGTATTATATATACTAGCAAATGAGTAGGCATTAAGACAATTAAGAAGCAGTCACCACAGGTTGGGAGTGTTAAGTGTACCAGCCCTAGCCCTAAGGAAATTGATTAAATCTAGGCGAGTCTTATAGGCAAGGCTATTTCCTAAATGGTTTAGTAAACAATTTGAAACTAAAAATATAGTTTTTAAATGTTCCTCTGTATAATAAAATTAGTTTAGTCACACGTATTAGTTTTCCGCATAATAATAAAAAAATCAGGGTCATTTAGCATATAAGGTGCAAAAAACTTGTATTCAAGAGCCCGCGATTACTGCGCCCGCTTCTGTTATGCTGCTTTACTTCATGTAGCCCTGGCAAAATGAATAGGAATTGAAAGTGAACTCTAAATTGTCAAAACAACGTATGTCACGAGAATTACATCGATCGGCGACAAACCCTGCAATTGTTTGGGACAACTAGAAGCTCCCATTTCATTAATATGTATTGAACCAAATGAATTGCATTAATATTTGTCACATGAGCCTTATTTGAAGAATACAACTATTAAAATACTACAGAAACTGGGACAATAAGAAGAAAACCGGGACAACAGTCAAAACCGGGACAGTTCCGGGACAGTCCCGTACTAAACACAAAGTTAACACAAAACTTATACTTGAAAATTACTGAATAAATTAAAAGAAAGTATATTTTCCTCTGTAACATGTTTGACAGTGTACATTTGTCCTTCATTCTACCGGGTGTCTAAAAAAAAGTATCTGTGTTTGATTTAACATAATGTAAAAACTATACCAGGCATAACTTTCAAATAAGTTTATATAGTATTAAGAAAATGCTAACCTAAATTTTGGTATACAGTGCTAGATCTTTCATTTCATATTGGGCAAGACAGAAACGGTGTATGAATAATGGAGTCACCTATACGTATATTATGCGCAAAGTTCTGCACAGTATATAAGCTGTATTGTTATATAGCTAGCGTGAACACCAAACGTGATTGGCTGATTTGTGGTCACATGACTTCAGATAAATGCAATGTTTCCCGCCCAGCAACAAGTGAAAAATTGTTGCCCGCTCCGACCGGCCACGTACATAAATAAACAAAATGGAGGCACAACTCAGATAATTAAAAAACTACGATTTTCCAAGTTTGTGTTCAAATAAAGAATATAAAAGAGAAGAAAAATACACAACAGGCAACAGCATATGCAGGTTCTTTTAATTTTAAACTTGTTTACACTATAGAGTTTTTGTCACGAAATACAATTGTTGTATGAATGTTGTTGAAGTTGATTTTTGTTCGTCGCTATATAACAAAACACTTAATGCCTGTTCCCTCGGGAAATAGTTAGTTTTGTTTTCCCTCGAATCTTAATGTTTCCCTCGACTTCGTCTCGGGAAACATTGAGATTCTCGGGAGAACAAAACTAACTATTTCCCTCGGGAGCAGACATTAAGTGTATAATGTAAATGTTGATGATACTGGACCACAATGACCGTTAAGGATCTCCTAACTGAGACTGGGGAAGGTTTCCACGATTCTTTCGTTTGCCTGTTTTTTCTTTTTGAAGCTTTGCTAATTTCGTCCGGTTTAATTCCTTGCTCTTTTGTCGACGTTCTTCTCGTTAACGCCAGCTCCCTTTTTCCTCTGAATTTTTTTTGGATATCTTTAGCGTACTTTCCCAAGCAATGTAGGTCTTCGACTACTGTAATTGTGTCTTGACAGATACCCATGGCCTTGTAAACGCTACATTGTCTCCCAAGCTGATTTCCAGTTTTCTATGGCTTTACAATGAGAGGAACTTTGCCAAGTCAGCTTTTTGCAGTTCTTATTCGAAGACCGTCGGATGCTGCTTGCCGTATTGCACCTGGTTCGAGATTCTCGGGAAAACAAAACTATTTCCCTTGGGAGCAGACATTAAGTGTATATTGATTGTCACTGTTGTGAAGTTTTGTGCTTTTTGTGGGTCGTCCACAATTTCTTTCCTGGAGGCCTCGCAACTAGATAAAATTATGTCCATAAATACATTAAATCTTTCCTGGTCTAATGCAGGATGCGCCCTTCGTCACTACTTTTTGTACTTCTTTTGCTGGTTATAGAGCAGTTCAAAATCTCATCAGTTGTAAACAGCTTCTTGAGGACAATACTGTCCACAACTTTGGCGATAGAATCACTTGATCTAATAAACGATTTCATATCACTTATCATATGGCTGTTATAATGGTTCAGCTTCTGCAGACTCCATTTGAGTGCCACTGGTTCCGTCGGCACCATGATGTCATGATTGAGTAACTCCAATTTCTTTTTTATTTTGGTCGCTTCACATTTAAGATTTTTAATGTCCTCATACAATTTTTGAACGTCTAAATCCTTTCTGAAAATATATAAAAAAATATTTTCTTATCATCTAAATGACTAACGCAACTTTAATACAACAGGACTTCTGACACCATGGAATTATAATCGCTTTTAAGTACAATCTAACAACAATATCTTCCGAATATATGATCCTTCATCACATTTACAAAGAACTGAATTTATTATTGTATATTTTTTATCAATTTGAGAGACTTTTGATTCGTGATTTTGATCAATTTCTATGAAATTGGGTTCGTGAAAAATGAAAATTTAACCCTGAGTAACATTCCAAAATTACCCCTCATTTTACTCCAACGACCCATATCCCTCATGTGCCATTTACTAAAAAACCTACCGACTGCTTGATTCTGTTGGTCGATTTGCCAGCAATGTAGAATGTTCATGGCTCTGTCCCTCGTACATGGTGGTCCGGGCGCTCAGTCTCACTATCTATAAGATGCATGTTGTAGCTGCTTGATGAATTATGTTTATTGGCCGAGTGTAATATAGCCAAGTTAGTGTCACATATATAATGGGCAGAAATTTGTCACGCAAAACTAATATACTTATCTATATTTATCTACATACGAATAGATGTATAATTATTTTAGATAATATAATAGCTAAACTACTTACCTAATTCCTTGTTATTACCACACAATTGTTCTGGGTTGTTTAAAAGTCCATCCAAAGTCTTTTTATCAGCTGTATTAAAGTATATATAGATTGATTTAGTTATGTGCAATTGTGCATGCACCTTAATGATTAGCCGGTATAGGAGAGGCATGAAACTGCCCCGTAACGTTTGTTTTTCCAAAAATGGAATGTCCATCCTTATATGGTGTTTACAACTTGGTGTAAACTAAATTTAGACCGTACAGTTTATACTTTTTTCAAAATATAAGATATTCAAGCAAGAATTTAAATATTTTAAATACTGTTTTCTCAAAACAGAACATTTCGTGCTTTGAGATAGGAAGGCCCAGATCAATTAATGTGTTTTTACGCATAGTGCTTCAGCAGTTGACATATATAGAGCTCAGCGGAAACATATAAATTACAGCATCTGAGCAATGGCAATGACATTTTCTTTCAACTGATTGGAGATGCAGATATTCAAAATTGTATGCCATCAGTGCAGGCTCTCATTTCACCTTGAGAGGCCTGCTCGCAGGTTAGTATGCAGGTTACTGGTGCAACAGTAATTAATTGTACAACATATTTGACATACCTATCTTCATTTATGCATCGGAATACTCTTTGAAATTAATTCCAATTTTCACCAGCTTTTCAATAAATTACTGTAGTTCTTCGCTGTCGTCGTTGGAGGTCCTTGCTTCAGCAGAAAATGGACCTGGAGAAATTAAGAATATATTCTATGCATAATATTATAATTTATAATAGATCATAAATTTGTAAATTCTGAAAAGTGATTGGTTAAGAACCATGTTGATATAAGCACAGAAATTTTCCACCACTCTCGAATTCAATTTTAATAATTTTCTCTGTTGTTATTATTTATTTCCTAGTGCTGTATTATAAAAAAATATAAAACATCTTTCTGTGTTGATACTGAGTTATATAAACAGTCTGGACAGTAAAGAATATTGCACGAATACTTAGGTATCCTTATCTAATCTTGCCATCTCAAATATGATTGAAAACTTCCACACACATTGTTTAATGCCATGAAGATTTACAGCAGTTCGAGCAACATATGTACAATAGATGTAAATTGATTCTGAAAGATGATTTAGATGAAATTCTGAACACTGATTGGCTAAGAGCAATGTTGATATAAGCACAGAAATTTTCCACCACTCTCAAATTCAATTTTAATAATTATTTTCTCTGTTTTTATTTATTTCCTAGTGCTGTATTATAAAAAAAATATAAAACATCTTTCCGTGTTGATTCTGAGTTATATAAACAGTCTGGAAAGTTGGGAAAACTGGAAATTGTGATGAAAACACTTGCCCTTCAAACAATTTGTCATTTTCCTAACTTCCACTTGTGTTTATATAACTCTATATGAACACGGAAAAGGTTTTTATAACTCATCACTAATATAGTCTGGCAGATAGAGGATCAAATTATGGAAAACTTACCATATCATGGGCCAATTCCATTTTGCCTTCATATTGTGCCCTGAAGGCTAATAAGTATGTTTCTGTATGTTGGCCACGTAAAATGTCTTGTGGGCTCCTGCTGACACGTTTTTCTTTGAATTTTGTAGTAAACTCTATTACAGTTAAGAAATGTGAAATTTCTGATACATTTCTAATACAAATGACTTGCTGCATCAATAGAAAGCTAACAAAAAACTACATATGAAACATTTACATGGTTAGTTGGGATTTTCAAGCGGTTTTCGAGTTATTGCCAAAATCTCGCAAAATTCCTGGGTAGTAGTCTGAAAACATGCATTCAACAGCTCATAACTCAAGAAGAACTTGAAAAACCCAGGTAACCGTTTAAATGTCTTATATATAGGTTAAAAGCCAAGGGAGAGGTTTTTATTAAACTGTGAAGACCGAGGGCCGAAGGCCCGAGGTCTTTACAGTTTAATAAAAACCGATACCCGCGGCTTTTAACTTGTTTATATACTCATTAGACCATATTCTTTTGTATTTCGGAGGTTTTCTTTATTAAATATTCAAGCTATATTAATTCAATGAGAGGTCGCTGCAGTTGTGGGACGAAATAACTAGGTGTAACATGCGCATTAACACGCTTTAAAATGTGGTTAAGCATGCGCAGTATATCATTTCACGTCCCACAAGCAAAAGAGCAGATATTACTGTATAAATTCCCTGCACAAGCATGTTTGATGGTTGATCCAGCTAGTCCTCGTGCGCCGAATGATAGATACTCTTACCTAATGGTAGAGTTTTGACGGGCTCTGAGGTACACGGCTGTTGTCTGTTTCTCGACTTAGAGACGTGCAACGTTTTCTAGTCGAAAAGGAGATGTGGGTCTTGAGTTTTCCTGCAAATTCAAGTCCCGAATTCAAGACTCATGTCAGGTCTTGAATTGAAAATGTAAAACCAGGTAACTGGTTATTATTTTTTCGTAATAACCTGGTAGCAGGTTATTACGGAAAAATAATAACCTGGTAGCAGGTTATTACGGAAAAATAATAACCTGCTAGTTTGCTACCAGGTTATTATTTTTCCGTAATAACCTGCTACCAGGTTATTATTTTTCCGTAATAACCTGCTACCAGGTTATTATTTTTCCGTAATAACCTGCTACCAGGTTATTATTTTTCCGTAATAACCTGCTACCCGGTTATTATTTTTCCGTAATAACCTTCAACCCCGTATTTCCCCCGGAGAAATCAAATACCACCGCCTGCTTTTAGATTGAAGGTTATTACGGCGGAGTTAAAAACTGACGAAATACAAAAGAATATGGTCTGATGAGTTTGTAAATGTAGTTTGTTGCAAGCTTTCCAATTATGTAAGTCATTTGTGTTAGAAATGTATTTGAAATTTCACATTTTTTAACTGTAATAGAGTTTAATACAACATTCGACGAAAACGTTATTATGCTTTGCCAATTTCACACAGTCATGTCTGCACAAATCCAAACACAAGAATATACAAACTATCAATCAATCAATGGCAGGGTATATGCTACAGCTTTACGCCAATTACAGCGGCCCTTACAGAATGAACATGAAACATTCTACATTAGATCTTTAGTAATATAAAAAGGCCACAGTTTGCACCCAGGAAAACCCCTCCGCAGGATACTAACGGAAGGAAAGTTACATAGTGCTAAAGTTGTTAGTTCCAACGCCGTCCGCTCCTGCGGAAAGTTTTATGCAGTGGAAATTAGCCGACAATGAAGCTTAAGACCAACACAGGGACACACATTAGAATTAATAACAACACGAATTTAAACAAGACAAATTACAGGACTTGTCACAAGACAAACATACAGACTTCCATGTTCTAGGATTTTGTGTGTCATAAATGTTCAGAGCCGACTTGTAATATTCATAGAGATCGCTTTTAAAACGACCTAAGCTGATGTTCTTTGTTGTCAACTCTTTTGGCAGAACATTCCATACAACGCGGCCGACATACAGAAACATACTAACTAGCCTTCAGGGCACAATATGAAGGCAAAATGGAATTGTGCCACAATATCGTAAGTTTTTTCCTTCTATCTGCCTGAGTAATAGGCTATATAAGCCCATATAGAGTATAGGTTTGCTTAAGTATAGTGGTCGTGAATCGTCGGTGCAAATTCGCAGGGAAACATGCATATGTGATGTGGATACACTGTGTGTACTTTGACGAGATCTGGCTTGCGCAGATCATCAACACACTTGTCCATCAGCATTTTACCAGTGACTCCACTAGTTTTATGCCGGAATGTGGACCCATGGAGAAGAAGTGACATGCTAACAACTTCTCCTGACTGCAAAATGATTTCTCGATTTAGGTTTGTGTTTCCAAGGCCGGTTTATGGCTGGTCATTGAACATGTCTGCTTCCTTAAGAAATCCTTCGTTTGTCAATATACCTGTTTAGGCAAAACAAGATGCAAGAGATCTTATTAACAGATTCTATATCATGTAGAGTGTATTTTGTTGTATTTGTCGAGTTTTGTAAAACCTATTCGTCCAAGTTTCCTGCATGCAGATATCATACGGAGTGTGCAATAATTGTAACTTACAAACTTGTGTCAAGGAGCAATTGAAAATAGATGCAGCTATCTGAATCGTTGTGGGTAACCTCCAAAGATGCAAGTGCAGGAAAGGGTTCTTTGTCATCTTGGACGTCATTTCCATCATCTTTTATTGCCTCATCATCATCATCACCATTTACTTCATCGTCGGTTTCTTCATCTTTGTCTTTGACATTATCCTTGTCGTTTGCTTCATCTGCCGTCAGTTTCTTCATCATTGTCATTTGCTTCATCACCGTCAGTTTCTTCATTGTTCTCCTTTACACTGTCTTCGTCGTTTGCTTCTTCGCTGTCATTTACCCTGTCATGGTTGTTTACTTCGTCTTCATTTACATTGTCATCGTCCTGATCATTGTTGCTACTATTTTCATCATCTAAGGTATCCATGAAGTTTGCCATGGATTGTACAGCCATGGCTAATCTTAGGACCTGTGATTTCCCCTGCAAAAATAGTCCTGAAATATGATGTTGATACTGTTAACAAAAGCTGTTGTTTGTATCGTGTAAGTGTGTGCAAGAATCGATTTTGATGATTTTGTGATCATTTGCCTTTTGGTGTTTTACACTTAATGTACAGTATTCAGTATCCAATATTGGTATTTACTGAAATTATAAAGATTTTACCACACCTTACAGGTAGAAGCAAAGCCGCAAAAAATGATGGGTGGCCATATCGTCTGCGACGCTGTGAGTTGGAGTTTGGGAATGGGATGTTTATGCCTAAATTGCCTATTTTGTGACTTACCTCCAATCAATGGTTCATATGGATACTTCTGGCACATGTTGATTTCCTAATCATCATGAACTTCTTGAAATTTTTCCAGTGCTTCAGGTGACAAAGAATATTCTCTTGTGTTAACAATAACGTTTGATCTTCTCTTGCTCTTTGATAATATAAGTTTGTTCTCCTTCCATATATAATTCAGCCAGAAAGTTGACTATATAAAGTAATAGAGATGAGAGAGATTGCTGGAATGTGAGTGTGCATAAATGTGAGTTATGCACAATGAAGTGTGCATAAAGCAGGAGTAATATGATTATACTTAGGGATGTTAAGAATTACTCTAGCAGCAGCATTTTGCAAGCGCTGCAACTTTATTATTTGTGTAGTCTGTAGACCATATAAAATGCCATTGCAATAATCAATACGCCCTATTATTAACCCATGAATCAACTTTCGTGCAGCATTCTCATCCAGATACTACCTGATACGCCTTATATTCGTCAAATGGTAGAACGCAGCCTTACCATGTATTGTTGATATTGACTTGAAGATTTAGATTGCTATCCATCCAAGTGCCAAGGTTCTTGACTGATGTAACAGAGGACACCCACACATCACCAAAGGCAAGAGAGTTTACATGTACTTTCAAAAGCTGTTGCCTCATACCAATCGGGATGAAATCCATTTTTCCATCATTAATCTTGAGTTTGTCACATAACAACCAGGCAAGGGAGCATGCCAGAACTATTTGTGTAAATTTATACTAATCTTTTAATTACATATGTTTTCAAATGTTTTCAGTGGGCGCCATTTGGAATGTTGAAAGCGGTATATATTATTAGCTTATCACAGGTGCGATAATTTATGTTCATCTTTGACATTAATTTATCTTACACGATGATACTCCGAAGGGCGACCGAGAAAGATCCGAAATTTAAAATACAGCGGAGAAAAAATAAAAAATAGAGGGGAGTGAAACGGCCGAACTATTATCCACTGATGCTGGTTGACTGTTGCTAGGAACATTTGATGTTGCTAGGAACAAACCGGAATCAAAATGAGACCTACTATTATGGGAACCACTGAGTATTTTAATATAAAACAACGGTAACTCCGAAAATAGAATTTTTTTATTACTTTTGGAGTTACCGTTGTTTTATATTTGACCTACTATAATTAGTTCAAGCGAGTCACAATAGAATATATTATTAAAATTGGGGACAATGGCGAAAGTTTGTATATCAGATAAACATCGGCTGCTCATGTTTTAACATACTTAAAAGACGACCCATCATATGAGTTCCTTTTAAAAATAAACATTGTCAAAGCCGAGAAAATCGAAGCTGAAGTTTATGTAAATGAGGACAATTTACAGATCTTTTATCCGATCGATTTGCAAACATTTTCTTTTGAATTTTCTTCATGAATTATTAATACTGTATTTTGTGTCCAGCATTCGCAAATGTTTTTGTTTCTCTGCTGTCGAAAATTCACTGCTGGTGAGCAACGATGCAAATCAATTCAAGTTTTGATAGATTTCAGATTTGACGGTTCTTGGTCAACGAGCATGGCAAGATAGCGAAATTGGATATACGCATTGTCATTGGCCAATACCCCATCACGTGTTCGGCCGTTTCACTCCCCTCTTTATTTTTTTTTTTTCTCCGCCGTATTTTAAATTTCAGATCTTTCTCGATCGCCCTTCAGAGTATCATAATATATGTCAAAGATGAAAATAAATTATCGCGCCTGCGATAAGCTAATAATATATACCACTTTCAACATTCAAAATGGCGCTCGATGAAAACATTTACATGTAATTAAAAGGTTAGTATAAATTTAGTATTTACACAAATAGTTCTGGCATGCTCCCTTGATCCAGGCTCTTATATCCTGCACACAAAGTTCCACAGCGGCAAAAGCATTCTCAGTACTTGCAGCAGTGTCCGGCTTGAATGCTAGGTACAAATCTGTGTCGTCCGCATATGCATGAGCTTCAGGCAAGTGTCTCTTAACAATTTCAAACAGCTTGCTAGCATACAGTGTGAATAATAAAGGACCAAGACATGAGCCTTGGGGAACACCTTGCTTCAATGGGAAAGCTTGCAAGAAATTACCATCCAATGAAACACACTGAGAACGTTGAGATAAATAAGACTTGAACCACTGTAGCACAGTTCCACATCCCAAAGCTTGTGCTGATATGCGACAGCAAGACAGAGTTGTCCACTGCATCAAAAGCAGCACTGAGATCAAGTAATACAACCAAGACAACATGCTGACGATCAATACCCATTAATAGATGATTGTGTATCTTAAGCAATGCTGTTTCAGTGCTATGTCCTTGTCTATAGGCTGACTGCAGTGTCGGATACAATTTGTGACAAGTTAGGCCCGGTTTAGACGGCGAACTTTTCATGTGCCGAATCTAATGCATGGATTAAGTGCAACGCTGGAGCGGCGTCTAAATCAATTAAGTTTGGCAGGTTTTGATTAAGTTCGACACGACCCGAAGATGCGACAAGAGAAGTCGTATTATGCGACACAGGTTCGACATTGATTTAGACACCGTACTTTTCATGCGCCGAACCTAATGCATAATTATTTTTTAGTAGTGTAATATGATTATCATATATTAGCATTGTAAATATGTCCCAGAACTCAGTGTGGGTATGACCACAATGTAAAACATGGCGGAATGTAAAACATGGCGGAATGTTTTATATTGTTTTAAATTATAGTGTACGTTGCTGAAATATGCTAAAATCGTCCTTTTGTTACTGATTTGAAAAATAAGTAGCACTATTTATCTCATGGGTCGTTGCATAGTCAATGAGACAACGATTTCACGACATTAAAAGCGGTCAACCATACCGCATAGTTTTCATGATTTTATCGCTTATTATTAATTGTTTAACCTTTCACTTCAGGCTTTCATCAATGTTTTCATCCGAATATAATGGTTATCTTTCTTTTATTTAAAAGATTCCAAAAGAAATAACACATGTTTATTGTGTTATTAAAAATGCATGTTTTAACTATCTGGAGGCATTTGTTTTGCTATTAAATTTCTCTTGTTACAAGGCTATAATTATCTAAAATATGCACCTGTCAATGTTAAGGGTCAGGTTTGGCATGTGTGGGGCATTTGATCATCAATTGCATCCCACCCTGGGGATTTTGATTAGCATTTTGGGCTCAAGTTAGAGCAATTTGAGCCAAATGAATTTTATTCATATAATATTTATTATTTCGGGTATTTGACCAATATTTATTGCCCAACAGTGGGACATTTGATTGAAAATTTGCTCAAAAAATCAAATGCCCCACATATGAAAGGAACCCCCCCCCCCCACTCTGGGGCTTAACATTGATAGGTACATAAAGGCATTAGAAATAAAAGAAAATTCACCAATTCCTGAAGAGGGATGCTCACGATTGTGAATTGCAACAGAACTAAAATTTACAGAACAGCAGAAAAGGGAAAATGTGAATTGCAATAGAACTAAAATTTATTTTTAGTGATGAGCATTTGATTAGTGGTGAGAAAAGTGTTGATCTTCAGGATGACACAAATGATGGTGATTATACTTATGAAGAGCACTGTGATGCACATGATCTGGGTTTTGACGAATTGTGTAACACTCAGGAGGATAGCGACAGTAAAAATGATGAGAATGTTGGTTCCAAGCCCAAGAGATTGAAACAATTGCAAAGAGCCGGGAGAAAACCAGGAAGAAAAGCTAAATGGAGTGATTCACTTATCAATGATATGGTTGATATCATTATAAATA